TGATATATTTTTTTAAAATAAAAATCAATTTAAAAATAAATCCAAACCTTCTTTGACATGGCGATCGTCCATGTTTGTGGTGAACTTGGGTACTTCTGCTCTTCGGTCGACCTGAAGTATACATTTTCAGGCCACTTTACTGCCTGTACGTGCGTGAGAACACCAACCTTCAAAGTCGCCTTGGCCTCTACACTGCCAGCGCTGTTCTCGGCAGTAACACGGACTGTACCGCTCTGAGCGATTTGGGGTTTATAAATGCGAATTGACGTCTTTCCGGTCTCCTCATCGTATTTCACCTTGATTTCTTCGCTGTTCTCAATTTTCTTGTCATTGAGATACCATGTGACCTGGAATATTAAGCTTATGTGTCTTTGCAGGTATAGGTCAGGAGGTTTGGATTGCGACGGCATGGCGAAACCTGCGCGCCGCGTTCATGATGAAAGGTACCGTATCCCTCCATTTTGAGCGCTGCTTGCAATCCCGTCCAGTGAATGATCGGAAACTTTTTTTCCTCTTTTCTCTACTTTTCCTTTTATTTTCTCCACTACAACACATTATGCATCGTCTCTAACATTCTTCTATGATACCTCTAATGTATCGATTTGAAATATCTAATATTTATGATTTTGGGGTTTCAAAAAGTGGAGCAGTAGATAAATTGTAAGTTGTAGCTTTTCAAAATCGCGACGTAGAATAAAGGATATTGGACGTGCATGCACCACCATCCCGATGATTTCACATGAAAATTCCACCGTGAGGCCTATGTTATACTTCGAAATCGAGCGATCCGCAAGGTCTGACATCGGTCTGAGCCAAGATAACCAGCTAAGAAATAAGCCGCAGATTTTTATCTCTTATAACATAATGTTTGCCAAACTCGTTATTTATACGAACGATACCAACTTCAATGCCTGACACTAGGCACATTTAGGCCTGCGAGAGGGCTATAATGATATAAACGCGAGCAACGCATTCTAAGGCTTAAGGGACGACAAATTTCCATGCTCAAGCTGAGAACTACAGTTAAGGAAATCACCTTGGGAGTGGGTGTGCCAACCACAATAGCGCTGAACTTGACACTGTCCTCATCGATGTAGACATCGTCATGATTTTGAGGTGTCTTTGTGAATTCAGGCTTGCTGGTTCCTTTCTCCACAACAATCTGAAAGTTGAAGACTGATTATCAAGTCGTGCATAACATTTTCTCATCAATTGATTAATTAATTAAT